ACGCTCTTCTGGGGTTTTTCGAGTTAGCTCATGCAAGAGGGATGTGAGAAATACCACTTGTTCTCCAAAAATCTCTTCTGGAACAGACTTCCTGTGTTTCCTGTACAGAAATGGTTCTGCCTGAACTAGTGTTGCAGGATGCTGACCTGTCCTGTTTTCATGCGTCTTGGTTTGGTGCACTGAAATAACTTTAATAAGCTCGTTCCTTCCATGGATAAGCTTTTAAGTGAAGTCCACTCTACCTGTGTAAAATGACGTCTTTAAATGTTTGTATTATGAAAGAAACATTTGCTATTTCTTTGCTTCCTACCATTCAGGTCTTTTAAATGTAGTTATCCTCACCATCTTACTGGATCTGGCAGTAGTTTTGAAGTTTGTTCACTGGTCAGTTCTTGAAAATAGGCTCTTCAGTGCATCTTTGGACGATGACCACCGATGACCACCATTGGCAGCATTGAAATTCCTACCAGGGAAAATGTGAAATTACATTATATGTTTTTTGCATATGCCCTTGTAGCTGGGAGTTCTGCTTGATTTCTGCTGCTCTGACCTCTTTTGATTTCAGCTCCTTCTGTGGCTTTGGTGGCTGACTACTACTTGTTTGCCTCTCAGGAAAATGGGTTGCACTATCGTAGAGTTGAATCCAGTAATTCAATCCATCTGTTATTTTTGCTCACTTCAGTACTGAATCACTTATCTCCACTATGTATCCCAGCAAGGTTAGTGCATGCAGTTCAGTATTGCATGATAGGAAACAACTTGATGAAAAAGATGCTGAAGTGAAGCAGGTTAGCTCGGGGAGTATTTCTTGGGGAGAGGAACATAAGGCATAAAGGGTGAGAAAACCAGTGTATTTCTGCCAGAATGAGCTCAGGTTACTTGCAGCAAGGAGATATGCACAGCTTTTTTGTCCTTTCCTAGAGATTTCTCAGCACTCTGTTGGATACTAGATGGCCAGTTGGAAAATCCAAAGTACTGGCAATGGGGAAAAATGTTGGATAATTGGTGATATTTTCTGGGTTTTTTTCCCCACCTCCTGTCTTATCTCGTTTGCTATTTGATGTGTATAGTGAGCTGCTTTGATGAACAGTCAAAAATTCTTGGAAGTCACAGTGGAAGTGCTTTGATTATGGCTAAGGAGGTGTATTTCTTGTGACTGTTCTGCAAGACTTCTTTCACAGGCTTGCTGGTCTCATAGATTGGTTTGTCAGGATCCATTAATTGCACCAGCTAAACATGGAAAATGTTTTACGTTTGTAGAGTTGAAGTTTGAACTAACAAAGATCCGTGCACATATTTCAGACTCACTGCCACTCATCCTGAACCATTCTTGATTTGTATGCAGTACGGGTACAGGATTTAGATAAGTGTCCACAGAAAATTTTTTGAAAGACACTTTTAATATTATTATTAAAACATAATTTGCAGCAGCATCTGAACTAGTTTTAACCAAACTGGTGGAGCTTATTAGAGTAATCTGTTAAAGACAAAATGGGGGAGAGAGGAAGCTAGGCAAATAATTCTTCAGTATAAAAAGTCTGGTACTTTAAATGCAAAGCTATGGATAAAAGCTACTAGGTTATGGAAGAGCTGCTACTATGACAAAAACTCAATCCTCCTCCCGCTTCTGTATCTGTTCTTTAGGGTACTATTACTCAGTTTAACTGGCTTCTTAAGAGAGAAATTCTTCATTGTGGAGTTTTACTGTATAATGTATCTGCTTCAGAATAACTTAGTTTATTATTCTCTCGGCTATAAAGAACTGAAAGATGAATTGCACAAATGGTTTAAGGGAGCACCACATTATTTTGGGGGCTCTTAACAAGTAATGTGGCAGGATGTGGGAAGCCTTGAATATCTTACAACTTGGAATTAATTTTCACATACATTTTCAAACCTCTTGAATGGAGTTGAAGTTAATTTGTAGTCAGGCATGACAGCTCTGTGGCTGAGGCAGCGGGATGAGAGCTGAGGAAGATTGCTGGTAGCATGCCCTTTGGCAAGCAAGTCAATCCCTCTATGCAATTTATTTCTATTACTCTGACAGTGATAATAACTCCTGGCCTTCTTCAGAGTGTTGTAGAATAACGAGGTTGTGAAATTTTCCTACTGTAGGAAACTGTAAACTTCATAGTGTAAAAATGATCAGTGTTGCCATTGATAATTTTCATGTAGTCCTTGTAAGAAGGAGCGGCGGGTGAAAGTCAAATAGAGGCATGGTTGAGATGCTGCTGCAAAATAAATTACAGTAGTGATACGGAAAAAAAAAGACTTTTCTTGCATTTGAAAGCGTAACAAAATGCTATGGCAGAAGATACTGGTAGTTTTGCCAGTGTGCATAGAAAATACCGAGGTGTTTTCAAAACCCCTCTGTGTCAGCAATGCTCATGATGTATGAGCATGCTTGTACACTCGTCCTTAAGTACGCTTACATGCTCATGCGTAAGTGTGTTAGGATCAACTCAAATTGCAAGAATTTAGGGTTACAAATGTATATGAAGTTCATTGGCATTAATAGCCTGAAATTGTAGTACACATCACTATTGGACCATTTGCTCTGTGAACATCTGATAGAGCTTTCAAGACAGCGGGGTGGGGTTAAGTTAAATGTGGTAGGCAGTTATTTTATAAATGAGAGACCTTCATAATGGCCTGTACGGAGGAGAAAAATCTCAATTAGGCAAAAAAGATACTGTCTATATGTATTCTACTGACTTGGAATATTTTAGAACTAGCGTTCGTAAGCTTTGTAGCAAACCAAACTGGAGGAAAACAAGTACTTGTGCAGGATAATAGCGTGTCAGGGCTAGTTAATAGAGCACAGTGGGGTTGCTGTGTCCTTCTGAGACTTGCTTTTGCTGAATAGTAGTGGGCTTTCAGATGCAGCTACAGTTTTGTCCGTTTTCTCCACCCATCTTGTCTTTCATCCTTTATATACGCTCAAGCAGTTCTGTGCAGTCGTGAACTTAAGAGCCCAGCACAGTGAAGCTCTTCGGAAGCTGCAGAAGACGGTATCTTGCAGAATTGAGATAACACACCCCACCAGCCGTGAATACACGGGGCAGGTAGTTGCAGCGTAACAGTTGCGCTCCACATTTCTCCCTGTGCCCTGCTTTTCAGCTTGGTTTACTAGGGCAAGAAAACACCGCCAGAAAACCCATCACTTCTAAAGGTGTGCTGCAGACAGGCACGCCCTTCGTTGGCCATCAAGTTCTCATGTAATACAAACCCCATTAAGAAAAGCTGTAACCTGGTAGATTCCAAGCAGTAATTGACTTGTCAGAACGACAAAAAGGTACCGGAACACGTAAGGAACAGTTGCAGGGAACAGATTCAGGAGCCGGTTGATAATTTGCTTTGACTATTTGTCTTTTAGCACTATTGTCAGCAAAACCAGCCTCAGTCTTGACAAGCTGTAATATTGGAAAGCGTAGTGCACGTTGCAAACCGTGGGCTGGTTGTCATACAAGATCTGAAAGCAGTAGAGGGGAATAGGCAAAGCATCTTCATTTTGTTAGGGTCTTGCTTTCTGGTTGCATGCTTTGTGTTTAAAGGAAGACTTGCTGTCGTTACGGCTTTTTATACTTTGTTAGATTGCCTCAGAAGTTAAAAAAAATCCAACAACGGTTTAGTGTGGCCTGTTTTGAAGCAGAACAGGGCAGGACTCCTCAAGGAAGGACTTGTTGATATTAAGTTTGTTGTTGGAGACTGGTATGGCTGTAGCAACAGATGTAGTTTCACTGCTGTGAAAGTTTTATGTTGTTAAGGTTTTTCCTTTTTTGGAATTTTGTACCTTATTTGCTACTGTTTCAGGGAATTAAGAATTTCATGGTAATGTGGAGAAGCTCACAGAATGGTGGTGATCCAGAAAAGACTCCCTTAAGGGGAGAGGAAAGATTTGTTATTTTAGTACGAGATACTGGCTTCAGCAAAAATTTGATGCTCAAGCAGCCTCAGTTTTCTCAGCTGTTACATATATACTGTGTGTCCCTATAGCTCGTAAGCATACATGCAGTGTATATACTTTACACTGACTGTACTGTGAGCAATTTCCAGAAGAGTAGCATGGTGAGGTTAGCCAGGTATAAGGCCAAAGAATTTTTTGGATGGTGGAAATAAAAATGGCTTGTAACACCTTTTGAAAAGTATATTTCAGGAAAAACTAAATTTATGAAAATGATAAATTTGATATTTTAAACTGGTCTGTTTGACAAAACAAAAGATGAAATGCTGCTTTTTTTCTGTGTAGTATCTGTTACATTGTCAAACTAGGGAAGATGAACTGTCTAATTATGGTTATTTATAGACTTTCCTGCAAAACCAAACTACACAAAAGCAAGGTAAGATACTCAGCTATTTGCAAGATAAATATTTTTTTTAGAAGGGGGAGGGAATATATTTACAGTATGTTTGAGATATAGCAAAATCTTCAAGTGCAGACGGTGACTTGATGAGATGCATGTTCTGTATCCGTTGTTAAACATTCTTCTTTTTCATCCTAGTTTCCACTGGCTCACTTGCTCAGCAGTATGCCCACCCTAATGCTACCCTGCATCCGCATCCTCCGCATCCTCAGCCTTCTGCCACACCAACTGGCCAGCAGCAAAGCCAACATGCTGGAAGCCACCCTGCTCCTAGCCCCGTGCAGGTAAGAGAACTCAAGGGGGGTCAATGTCTTTAAATTGTATTTAACACGCTCTACTGGAAGGTCTCGCATCAGTCTGATGCTTGACATCGATATATTGATTTCTTTGAGAGGAAAAATGGTAAGATGTAGCAGTTGCCCAAATGAACTATGTGTAGCAGATCTCTTACAGGAGTTTTCTAGATTCCCCTCTGTGTTCTGGAAGGAAGGAAGTAGAGCTATATAACTAAGTTTTCTCTGCTTGCAATGGCTAGGACTCAAAGGTGGTAGGCTCATGATGTAGCTTGTTAGATAAGCTAGCAGAAAAACTTGTGGCAGTCCCTTTTCCTTAGTAAGGACTAATATCAGAGTCCAACTGTTCATTTCTCCCTCTTCACAGGGGATGAGGCTTAGCTTGTTTCTGTGTTATGATTAAGGAAGGATCATAATTTTGTGAGAGCTTTGGTATGAGTGGAAGTATAACTGGAAATAGCAGATAAATGCTGAGAAGCGTTTGATTGTATTCCGTCAAAGACAAGCAGCTGAAAACAAAATAGGCCTCGTGATAGTGCTGCATGCCCTAGTTACCTACTGGTAATAACTTTGGGCTGCCAAGTGCAACTGTGAAATATGTCTGGCCCCACGGTTGCAGGGTCTCCTTGTTTTTACCTGTCAGTCTAGGTTCCGTTTTCCTAGCTCTTGCTCACATACCTTTCTAGTGCAAGGAGAAAGTGAACCTGGTGGAATTGAAATGAGTTTCCTCATGTGACCGTAGGTGTGGGATCCTTAGATTTGCCACTTAAAAGATTCACTATCGAGAGCAGTTTTGCAAACCTTTCTTACGCTCATTTACAGAATAAACGTGTCTCGCTTCTAGACCGTAACCTAAATGATCTTCCGTCTTTTTTTGCAGCATCATCAGCACCAGGCTGCTCAGGCACTCCACCTGGCAAACCCACAACAGCAGTCGGCAATTTACCACGCAGGTCTAGCTCCAACCCCACCTTCCATGACGCCAGGCTCCAATACGCAGTCTCCACAAAATAGTTTTCCTACAGCACAACAAACAGTCTTCACCATTCATCCCTCCCATGTTCAACCTGCATATACCAATCCGCCACACATGGCCCATGTCCCCCAGGTAAACACAGTTTAACAACCTTCAAGACTAAATGTCTTAATGCCACAAAGTTAGGACAGTCGGGCCTGCTGAAGTGATTTCCATTCTGTCACCTCTCAGCACAGACTACCTGTTGTGTTATTTAGGTTTCTGTCTGTACGTTGCCTTTAGAATTTTACAAGATATTTCGACCTCAGCTTCCAACACCCAGTACATCTACAACTGTAGTTTAATGAAGACATCTTAAGGTGGCACTGCTACTGAAAGAAATTGAGCTCTCTTCCCAGTTCCCGGCTCCCATCCTTGTCCTGCCCCACCATTCTGCTCACAGAACTGTTTGGCCATGCAGCAAACCAGACTGGGGACATGATTCAGCTGAAGTGTGCCTCCCCTACCCCCATTTTAGGCTATTTCTCAGTCAAATCAGTTCACTACTCAGGTTCACTGCATGATCACAGGAAGAGCTGGCATACAGAAAGGTTGGAGGTGAGAGCTGAGTGGAGGAAGGCTGAATTGCTGCTTTTGGTGGCAGTTCTAGGCTCTGCATTGTAGTCAAGTTTATCCAAGTACATCCAATAAAGGATATTACACAGGATTACTAGGGAGTGGCAAAATGCTGCGATGGGAGATAGGTGAGATTCAGTTCAGATGACTGCAAGACAATCCTTGCTGAAAGAAAACCACGTGTGCGTGTGTGTGTGTGTGTGTATATGTGTCTGTGTGGTGTTCTAAATGAACTGCTTATGCAGGAGATCCCCGATGATTGTTGGGCAACTTAACAACAGTCCTTGCTTCAGGATCAGAAACCCATTTAACTGCTCTCTTGTGGTCAGCTCACTGAAGAAAGGATTTTGGGAAGGGAAGCACACGATTGATTAATGGAGAGCTCTGCGTAAAGCAGCGTTAGAAAGATTTTCTGATGTTTACTAAATCTCATGGATTTAGTGTGCTTTGTCAAGGAACGGACAATTAATCAGTAATTTGCCTGCACAATTTCTTCTGCAGACCAAGTACTTGGTGTCTGGCTTACGCCTTCTCATACAGGTTAACAGTACTTGGCATATCATGACTAACTGTCATTAGGGAGGTTAGTCTGATAGGTGTCCGGTCCCTTGCAGAATTCTGATAAAATCTTTGCTTTGGTCCCTGGGACAGTCAGTTAAGCCAATGATTGAATAGTTATTTAGAAACTGTTTTACTGATGTTGAGTTTTTAGCTTTTTTAATTCTGTTAGGCTTTTTAATTTCTCTGCTTTTGTACTGTGGGAGGATAAGGAGAAGATGTCCGAACTTGACTACTGCTGTGGCATCTTGCCATGTCCTCCCAGGCTCTGGCTTCTGCCAGAAGCAAGACCCTTGCTCCGCTCTGGTGTGATAGCACTGGTGTGAATGCCTAGGTTGTTAGAGCTTCTCGAGTGCCTTGCGTGCGACCCTGCGGAAGGGTCTTGCTGCAAGCTCCTGGGTTAGCGGCCTGTTCAATGCCGTGCCTTGAAACACAAAACATGTTTGTTTCAAGGTCAGCTTAAAGGTAAAACTGGACGTGAGCTGTTCTGTACACGTCACGGCCGGGCCCGTGCCTGCGCTGTGGGATGCGACCATTGCCTTCCTTTCTGTGTGCCAAGCACTTAATAAGCAAACCTTGCTAAAGCAGTTCAAATGTAACTTAGTCAGAACTGACTGCTCAGTCAGGATTTTTTAGCAATCACAGGCAAAGCCTGCCTTACCCTTGATTTTTGACTTACGCAGTCTCTTCTGCTGTCATTTTTTTAGGATGAAAACCACAATCTATAATCCATGATATTTATACCAAACTAACTGACTTTTCAAAATGAAGTAGTTCCCTCAGCACTCTCTAATGAAGGAATAACTACAGTTCTGTAAGAAATTTTAAACACATGTAATTATTCCATGGCGGGGAAACTAGTCACTGGATGTAAGAGTTTCTTAGCAGCCTCGTTTCCAACTTCTGAACACAATTCTGAAATGCCATGTCGTAGGAGTTTCAGTTAGGCTAACACGGGGGATCAGCTGAATTTCCCTTTAGATTATCACATGAACCTTGAGCTGTTAGATATCTCACTTGAGAAACAGTACTTCAAAGTTCATTACAGAGTCCTGTCAGCTGCCAATTTGCAAAGCATTTGAGCCACAGCAGAAAATTTTTATCCCGTGTGTGTATTGAGTACAGCTGCTATATGAATAGCTGCTTTATAGTGATGGCTGCTATAATAGCATGTTTGTCAAAGTAAAAATGGTGCTGATCCTGAAAGGTATTTCTGTTTCACGGCCTTATCTTCTAAGCCTTTTTTAGAGCAAGAGTGAGATTTGAATTGCAGTTCCTGCCTTTAAAGGCTTCTTGAGTGCTACTAATACAGTGCAAGTCTGATAAAGAGTTTGAGGAACGTCTGTGATGAGTCAAGTAACCCTTTTGTCTTTAAGAAATAAAATTGTAGCCACTACCTGCTATCTGTCTTTACTGGCATGTGAAACTTGGGAGGCTGCAGTTACTGCACCGGAGTGCTCTGTTAATGGGATATGGTAGAAGGACAAAGCAAACCTTAGATACAAATGCTTTTTTTTTCCCCCCCCCCCAAGAGAGACCCACTGAGAGCTCCAAGACTTCCTTAATGTTTTGTGCTTTTAAGAAACTAGTGTTTACTAGCATTTTGAACGAAAACATTGATGACCTCTAGAGTCATTAACTGTTCTGAAGCCAACTGACAAGTTACTGAACTTGTTTGCCAGAAGGTGATCAGCCATCGTAAAGATAAATCTCCTTTTTCCGTTGAGACTTAACTATGATTGCTTAGATTACACAAGGACCTGAACTGTGATGAGCTTAACTGGAAACAGAACAAAGCTGACCTAACAGCATAAAGGGATGAAATCACTCATCTTAGAATGACCGCTTCGATGAACGATAACGTGGGCACAGGTCACTGGAGAGGGTGGTTTCCAGGGCAGGGAGCCGCGGGAGAACGTGGGGTTGTGTAACGAGCAGCTGAGGAGGGGGAGCCAGACTCCCAGCGCCTGTGAAGTTCCTATCTGTACCCGGTGCGTTCTCTACGTAGGAAGTGCTTTGATCTAAGTTACTAACAGAAATGTTTTGAAGATTTGTTGCCGTGTTCTTTTTTTTTGGGTTTTTTTTTTTTGGTTTTTTGTTTTTAAATATTCCACCACTGTTTAACACTGGCAGTTTTTCCCAGCGCTCGCTGTCCAAATGGCTAAAATTGAGAATGTGAGTCAGAGCCAGCAGTAAGGATTTGGGCCCTTTTTCTTTTTTTTCTTCTTTTCTTTTTTTTTAAGTTACTATTTTTGTGTTAAGGTCTCTGACTTAATCCCTATAGCTAATCTAGTTAAAATGGAGTAAATCTCTGGATTTACTGGTACAGCCGGAGAAATCTTGATAGTCATGTGGCCAGGAGTGATGCCTCCTTGTGACCATTATACTAAAGAGCTCTTTGTTTCAGGCTCATGTACAGTCAGGAATGGTTCCTTCTCACCCAACTGCCCATGCTCCAATGATGCTAATGACGACACAGCCACCTGGTGGTCCCCAAGCCGCCATCGCTCAAAGTGCACTACAGCCCATTCCAGTCTCGACAACAACACATTTCCCCTATATGACGCACCCTTCAGGTGAGGAGTGTGTGCCCGGGAGACCTGCACCTTAACTGAGCCAGGTCGTAGCGGTGAGGAGAACTGTAATGAACCAGAGTTGGGGAAAAAGAACAACAAAAGAAAAACCAAACCCAAAAACCTTAAGATGTCCTTGTAGAGCGGCAGGCTGAAGGCAGACTGTTTCTGCGTTTAGCATTTACACTTTGCCAGCCCGAATGCGAGCCTAGATAAGCGTACGAGATTTAGCTAATTTAGCAAAGACTTTGCTTCTCTCTCGCTGAAGTAGAGAAACGGATAACTGCAGGCACTGGCACTGCGGGACTGTGTTCTTCCAGGGTTTGCCGTGGTTTTGCCGTGGGGGATGGACTGTCTGTGTAGCCTGTTTATAATGATCTGGGGGTTTATTAAATTTAAAGTGATCGCTGGTGAGGATAGGAGTGAAAATGGTGCTAGGGGGTAGGGCTGTTAGACTTCTAATGACTGAAGTAAAGTGACAGCTGAAGTCTAATCTTTAATTCAGAGTAACGTTCTGCAGCTTTACTTTTGGAGAAAAGTAGGTGCTGTATGACTTCTTTCTGCTTTAAATTTAACTTTACCTAGGTTTCTTTATTGTTACTCGTTTCCAAACAGCCTCTAAACTTTGGTAGTGACCTAGATACCTGATTTTGTTTCTTGGGGAATGTGTGAACAGAACAAGGCTGCTTTCTAAGGGTTTGGTAGGGAAAAAAAACAAACATCCAAAGGACATCTTGATATGCAGGGTTTTGTTTTGTTCATTTAAAAAAAAAAAAAAATTAAAAAAAAGGCAAAAAAAAAAAGAAAGAGAAAAAGAAAAAGAAGTTCAGCTCAGTAGTTGTCCTGTGACCACTTTACTAGCAAACTGTTGTGTGGCTTGCCAATTTATTATTTACATTTGAACTTTTTTTTTACAGTACAAGCCCACCACCAACAGCAGTTGTAAGGCTCATCTGGAATAACTGAAAGGCTGGATACCTTTTGTAGGCCAAATACCCTCCTTCTACTGCTTCTGCCAACTGGAAGCACAGAAAACTAGAATTTCATTTTATTTTGTTTAAAAAAAAAAAAATTGATTTCTTGTAACATCCACTAGGAATGCTAACAGTTCATCTTGCAGTGGGAGAGATTCGGACTGAGTAGAGGCATTTAGGAACTTGTGGGCTATTCCATAATTCCATGCACTGTATCTGAGTCCTGCAAGTGCCCCAACTCTGCTTGCTGAAAACTGGAAGTTATTTATTTTTTAATGACCCTTCAAAGTTATGAACTCATCAGCTAGCAAAAGAAGTAACAAGAGTGATTCTTGCTGCTATTATCACTAAAAATCAAGACTTGGAGATCCCTTTTACTTCTAACTAAACTTGAAACAGGTTCAGTAAAAAAAAAAAAAATTCTAATCGTCAAACTGATGAATTATTATTTATAAATCACGTTTGATGAGATAATCACTATCGTGAGACAGTGATGTAACTTTTAAGTTAAGAAAACTTTTACTTTGTAGATAATATAAAATAAAAACTTAAAAAAAAAATTAAAAAATAAAAAAAGTTTTAAAAACTGACCCACTTGGCGTTTGTGTCTTGCTTTACCAGTATCTGACTTTATCCAGCTTTTGATGCAAATTGGAGTGAATGTTGGGTTTAGCAGCAGGTAAGCTTTGCCGTGGGGTTGCGTCGTCTGCTGCTGCCGTGTTGTGTGCGTGCCCCCCCCCCGCCCCGAAACCGAATCGCTTGTGTTTGACTTGCAGGGCCATCGCAAACGCAACGTCAAAAGGTTGCAAGATCAGAAGCTCGGTACAGGTTGTAAACACTTTTCCTTGTGTTCAGGTCTGTTCCCTAAAGCCTCAGCCTTACACCCTGTTCTGGCCGGTGCCGCAGAAGGCGTCGCAGCTGGGGCTTGAGGCTCAAGGAGATAAAACTCCGTGAGACGCGGTGGTGCTGCTGGAGAAGGAAAGGAAGAAACGGGGGTAAGCATTAAAGGACTGGTAAAAAGATGGAGAATGGGATAGGAGAAAGGGTAGGACTATCGCCTGCGTCAGGAACACGCTGCGGTCTTCCTAGCCCTCCTGTACGGGCATCCTATGGCGGCTGACCAAAAGGCGATGCTGGTTGAACTGGTGTAAGCTGCCCTTCAGAGCCAGGACAAGCAAGCTGCCGTGTGTGCAACCTTCCGCGGGCAGCGGTTCCGTCCCGTTGTGGCTTGGTGAAAAGCAGGGGAACGCAAATCCTGCCGCAGCTCCTCTCTTAATCCTCCCAGGTCAGCGGTGCAGTAAAAGGGAATGAATCCACGTTCAGGTGGGCAGCAGGGGGCACGCGACTGTCGCGGCGAGCGAGGGTGGCTTGGGGCAGGGCTCCTCGAATGAGTCTGCTGAGAAGGAAGGGCTCGTCCCACGGGCCAGGGGCTCGCTTTTCATTTCTAAGGGAGGGTTTCTCTCTTTTTAGCAGCCGTTAACTCAGTATCTGCTAAAATAGCACCCAGGCACCCAGAGAGAATCAGCCTAAAGACTACAAGTGAGAAACAAGTTCTAAAAACAGTTTATTAGGAGGAGGATTTTTTTTTTTTTTTTAATATTATGGTAAAATTGCATTATTCAAGAATAAGTTACTTGTACAGTACATACAGAAACAATACATAGAAAAACCTACTATACAAGAAGAACTCTTCTGTGCAGGTGAAAAGTAGAATTTTTCAGATAATAACTCTTTTCAGCCAACAAACTGTTGGCTTTAATCATCCTGTTAAGGGCTGAGTTAGAGAACGCGCAGTCGCCTCCCCCACCTCTGGTAGCTGCTGGTGAAGGTCGGGTCTGTTTGCATCAAACAAGCTTAAGTGGAAATTTGGAAATACTCAAACCTGGTAGTCGAGGTTTTGAGGCTTTATACGTGTGTTAGAGTAAAACTGCGCTGGCTGGATGACAGCAGTGCTCGGCGGGCCAGAGACTGTAAGAAATGAGAAGCTTTGGCCTCACCCTGGACCTCTTCTCCTAGAAGTTTTGCCCCAGAAGAGTTTTGATGCAAAAACCATTGGTGAGGCAACGCGGGGTGTCGGTGTTTGGCAACCTGCTCCGGATTGCTGGTGCCGTTCCTCGGGGCTGGGATGCGGGAGGGAGGGAGAGATTCAATAATGCTTCATGTCATGAACTTCTTCAGAACCTGTCATCCGTAAAGACACGCAAACACCACCGCTAGGGAGGGTCTGTCAGCAACTGGCGAGTGGTTTCCAAAGCATGAGATGGAGAGGAGGGGGAGGCGTCCTGGCTGGCCCCAAGTCTTGGGTTACGCCCAAAGCCAGGTCCCTGCTGTCTGAGAGAGCAAAGGCATTGCCTGCTTTGTGTCTTTATTGTCAAAAAAAGAGCTGTCCTGAGTAGCTGGGTCTAATGGGGCTTCCCTCCCTAATGGCCCTCTTCTCGGGGGGGGGGGCTGCACGAGTGGTCGGTGGGCACCGAGAGTTGCTGCTGGTGGGGTTGTGGCTTTGTTAAGTTGGATCCAAACTCACATTGCACTTGCACATCTCCAGGACCAAGGCACAAGCCGAGTCCTCTGCGGTCGCATCCAACTTTATTTCAACTCTAGGAAATGCTCTTTCTCCTCCGTGGGAGCCCAGGAGGCGCCTGTCCCTGTGGGGGCTCTTCCCATGGCTTCCCCCTTCTCCCAAAACTTGATGCTGATCCTTCATAGAGGCTGATAAAAGCCCACGTGGGCTGGGGAGCTAAACCTGCTACGTCCTCGGTTCTTTCCCCAAGTTTAGAATATAAACATTCCCTCAGGTTGCTTGTATTCCCTGTAATGGAATGGCGTGATGCTCTCTGCCCGCTGCCGTGATAAGGAGTACCGGTAGGGGCTGGATTAGTGCGTGCTGGCAGGAGCGGAGGTAGGGCTGTGTGTCAGGCTCCAACCCGTGTCGCAAGCCGGATGCTTTCTAGGAGAAACGGGATTTCCAACTCGGCCCTCCAGGAGCTGGGGAAATAGCCCCCAAAACCCCACCCCTGGGGTCCCAGTGCCGTTGGGGTCGGGACCACAGCGGGCCCACGCTGCGGCAGAACAGAGGACGGAGGTGGGGAGATGGTGGGGCTGGGTGGCTGGGCAGCCCTTGGCTGCGGGGTTTGAGATGGGAATAACTATTAAAGAATCCGAGCGACTTTCCCACCGCTCGCCAGCGGGGAGAACGGGAGTTCGCATCCACCGGAGTTTGTTTGCGCGGGGGAAGCGGCTGACGGGGCAGTAATGAAGTCCACAGATATTTTGCTCATCAAGCACAGCAATTTCCATTTAAACGATGGAGAACCCCCTTGCAATTAAACTGCAGGTTAAAAATACCACACAGGCGCGCACGTTTAGTTGTTGGCGCTCGCCCAATAAGCCCTGGCGTGCCAAAACAACCCATCCCAGCAGCGGCAGCCTCTGATTTCTCTGGCAAGGGCTGCGCCGGCTGTGAATTGCAATCCCTTTTCCCAGCCCGTTCTTTCTTGCAGATGCTCGGAGCGTAGGGTGATTTGGGTTGAGACCACCTCGTCTTTTGGGGAAAGACCCCTTGGAATGTGGCTGCCTGGAGCTCAACAGAGCTAAAAAAAAAAAATAAAAAAATATCACCTCTTTGACCCTTAGCAAGGTGTAGCATGTGCAAGTGTTTTCCAAGGCGTGAACGCTCCGGGAACTACGCACCGAGCAAGCGGAGGAGCCAACAACTTGTGCTGTGCTTCCTCCCCGTCCCTCCTTCATCCCTATAAATCCAAGAGCATGGGGAATTATTTATTAGCAATGAAGGGAGCTGACTTGCCTGGCACAAGCCAGCCCCGGCTATATGCTCCTGCCCTTCGGTGCAGCCTTTGTGCCGGTCCAGGGAGGAAAATGGGATGCGGATACGGCTGAGAAGCTCCAGCCAAGGAGGACAGGGCTGCCTTTGTTTCTCCAGCAGCCCGGCCGGGTTTGGCAGTGCCGGAGGTGTGACCGGCCAGTGCTGTTTGCTCTTAATGCTCTGGTTTCAGGAGCAAGCGTGTGATGGTGTGTGCTGAGCGCCGGGAACCGCTGATCCCCGCTGAAGCACCGGATTGCTCCCCGTGCGCCCGTTTTCAAGTTGTTTTAAATAAGGGGGGGGCGGGGGCGGGAAAGGTCTCGCCTGCTCTGGATGTACAGACAGCTCGGGAGAGGGCTGGGGCAAGGGATGAGGAAGCATAAAATGCAAAGCCGAAGTGGTTTCTCAAGTTGATGGTGTCCAGTTTCTCCCAGCCCTCATCCTTTGACTACTGCTTATAAAACCAGGTTGCCTGTCATGGCCAGCCCCTGGCCCGCGTTTGGCCCCGGCTGTTTTGGCGCTGCCTGGTCCTGGCCCCTGCCTGGGCTACATCTGCCCAGCACATCAGCGCCGTGATCTTGCCCTTTGATTCCCGCCCTTGAGCAGAGCTTGGCTCCTCGGGCTTTGCCACCCGGGCTCACCACGCGTTGGCTTCAGGGCAAAAACCTAGAGGCTGGATTTTTTTTTATTTTTTGCAAAACTCCCTGACTCAGCCCCACGCGGCTTTTTTGTTTGTTTGCTTGCAAATTAATTCCTAAATGTTAACGCTCCTGAGGGCTCCCGCCTCAAGCAAAAAAAAAAAAGTTGAAACAAAAAGGCTTTCCTGTAAGGCAATTTCAAGGCAAGTTTTGCACCCGAAATCCCGGGGAGCGCCACGCGGGCTGCGCTGAGAAATCTGGAAGTTGAATGCTGCGAACATCCCCTCCCGCGTGTCGCAACAGCTCCAGCCCTTCCTTATTCTTAAAATAACGGCAGCTTCTAAGAAGCGGTTCCTCTCTCAGCGCGGCCGCGCCAGCTGCCCCAGGTAAAGCGGCACCG